AACCCATATTCCGGTTTGATCTTCCGGTTCCAGTTCCGTGTATCATCGACGAAATCATCCTTCCCCTGATCAAAACCCAGAAGAAAAAAAAGTTGAGAAATTGAATCGTGTAAAGTAGACAAAACAGAAATCGAATTACACAGACGTTGATGAAATCGCGGGGTCTACGGGAAGCAAGAAGGGAAGAAGAAGGAAGATGAGGGATCGTGGTTCTGGTGAAGATTAGGGTTTTGGGAGTGAAGAAGGAGAGAGGCGATCGAGTTTGGATTGAGAGAAGCGAGAGAGAAGAAGAAGAAGGCGATGAGATTGAGGCGGAAAATGGCATTGTTCGTTACGCATCAGACCGCTCAGTTTTTTCTTTCTTTCTTCTCTCTGTTTTGGCATTTACTATCAAACTTAAATTAAAAGAATATATTGCAAAAGAAAATCAATCTTTAACATAAAAAATCTAACGAAATTTGAAAAAATAAATTAAAATCCAACATATTTTACCGTGGTAAAAAAAAAACAAGCTATTTTAACAAATCATTTTTCTTTTCTTTCTAAAGCTAACAGTTTTATATCGTAGATAAAAAAAAACAAAACTCCGTTGTTTTATTATTTGGTTTAATATTTTCTATACAGTTACGGTTATAATTTGTCTTGCAATTTTTTTTACCGTCTTGCTATTGATTCAACCATAGTATGTATATACGTTACAGTTAAACCTCTTATACTGCTTTTATGTTATAGCTCTCAGTAGAATTTAATCTCTTCGACTCCACTACCGAATGTTTCCTCAACTCTAGGATCAAGAACATTCATTCGTTACATACTCAAGTTTGAATTTCTCATTGAAAGTTTTTTCCATTACTCGTGGAATTGCAGAAAACTGTCAGGATGTTCACTTCCATTACTGGTAGGTTCCGACGAAGTCACTACAATGATTTACTATTCTTTCATCATCTCTCTTCACACTCCAACGTTTGTCTTTCTTTAACCATTGGGACTATCTTCAGCTTTCGAGAATCCGAGATTAATTTATAATCCATTATTCTATAATCCGTTGATGCAAATAATTTCTATCGTTATGATCTATCAAATAACAATATGATAATCCTTCAGTCCATTTCCTTGAGTATATTCTTCTCTTAGGCTTTAGCTCTCTCGTGTTCATCGTTTCACATAGGAACGGTGAAGATGACGAGACGCGTTATACTTGACGTGATCAAGTTCGAAGAGGCTCGAAATCCTTATAATCAAAGAGATGCGCAAGTGTTTTGAAACTGGAAAATTTCGGGGGTTTTTTTTGCCTTTAAATAAGATAGACATTGTGACAATACATCAACCAAATTCTATCTTCATACATATTCGGTTTTAAATAAATATTGTTCTAGACAATATCACGTAGAATTAAAATTATGTATTATAAATTTTGATTAGTATAACACCGTTTTCCAAATCAGACTTTATAATATATATATCTACTTAAACTCTTAGAGACTATAGTAAAATATATTTTAGTTTTAAAATATTGTATTAG